ATATTTTGTGTTTTTTTTGTTTTTTTGTAGCTCTGGGAAGAAACCGGAGCAGGGGCGGAGCCACAGGGGGGGCTGAGGGGGGGCTCAGCCCCCCCTGAAATTTTGGGAAAGTCGGTAATCGGGATAGCCGGATATCCGGCTGCTGCAAAATGCTGCAGGCTGCCACCTTGTGCTGCCCTGCAGGCTGCCACCTTGTGCTGCCCTGCAGGCTGCCACCTTGTGCTGCCCTGCAGGCTGCCACCTTGTGCTGCCCTGCAGGCTGCCACCTCGTGCTGCCCTGCAGGCTGCTTGAGCGGCAGCCTTTCGAACTTATCGAACTTATTAGCCACATCAGCGGCTCCGACCTATTAATAAACTCCGCGTTCAAATCCAATAAAATGTGTTTATACATTTGTGGCGCCCATTGGAAAACATTCACTGGATATCTCAGAATATTGAAGTCAGCCCCCCCAAAGTCAAAATCCTTGCTCCGCCCCTGAACCGGAGACATCCGGGAAAAATCCACACAGAACAGGGGAAGAACGAACTCCACTCGCTCTCAGTCACACACAGGAATATTCCACGCTCTCACACACACACAGTCTCACACACTCACATACACAAATCCTCACACACCCACACACTCAAACACTCACACACTTTCACACACGCACAGCCTCACGTAACCACACACACTCTCACACCCACACAAATCCTCACACACCCACACAAATCTTCACACACTCAAATACTCACACACTTTCACACATGCACAGCCTCACACACCCACTCATTCACACAAATGCACAGCCTCACACACCCACTCACTGAAACACTCACTCACTTTCACACACACACAGCCTCACACAGCCTCACACACCCACTCACTCACACACTCACACTCTCACACACACAAATCCTCTCACACCCACTCACTAAAACACTCACACACTTTCACACACGCACAGCCTCACGTAACCACACACACTCTCACACACCCACACAAATCCTCACACACCCACACAAATCCTCACACACCCACACACTCAAATACTCACACACTTTCAGACATGCACAGCCTCACACACCCACTCATTCACACACATGCACAGCCTCACACACCCACTCACTCAAACACTCACTCACTTTCACGCACACACAGCCTCACACAGCCTCACACACCCACTCACTCACACTCTCACACACAAATCCTCTCACACCCACTCAAACACTCTCACACACACACAGCCTCACACAGCCTCACACACCCACTCACACACTCACACTCTCACACATGCACAGCCTCACACACCTTGTCACACTCACACACAGCCTCACCCACTCAAACACTCATACACACCCTCACACACTCACACTCTCTCACACACCCACTCACTCAAACACTCTCACACACACTCACACACAAATCCTCACACACCCACTCACTCAAACACTCACACACTTTCACACATGCACATCCACACACACCCACTCACTCACCCATGCACAGCCTCACACACCCACTCACTCACACATGCACAGCCTCACACACCCACTCACTCACACACATGCACATCCTCACACACCCACTCACTCACACACATGCACAGCCTCACACACTCACTCAAACACACACTGTCACACTCTCACATATGCACAGCCTCACACACCCACTCACTCAAACACTCACACTCTCACACACACACAGCCTCACACACCCACTCACTCACACACTCACCCACTCAAACACTCATACACACCCTCACACACTCACACTCTCTCACACACCCACTCACTAAAACACTCACACTCTCACACATGCACAGCCTCACGCACCTAGTCACACACTCGCACACAGCCTCACACACCCACTCACACACTCGCACACAGCCTCACACACTCACACACCCACTCACTCAAACACTCACACTCTGCAGAACAGGGGGGAAGAATACTTGTATACCAACTCCACACAGAAAGGCACCAAAGTCGAGGATTGAACCCAGGCCCCTTCTTGCTGTGAGGCACAATGATTCCGTTGGGCCGCCATACGGCATGGCAAGGCCCTCATGCAGAAGTGGATTGACGTAAAATGGGCTACGTGCGTACTGCGGTAAAGTGTTCTTGGTAATGGAATTGCTGCTGCTCTCTGTTAGAATTGGTTAACGTCGTATTGCACGCAACACAAAATAATCATTGGCGTCACTGTGGACAATATAAATAACAACGTAAATGAACAGACAGTAGATTTCCTTCATATGTGTGTCCTCCACATACATAGCACGAAATGTATATTGTTTATACATCCCATCAGCCTCAAGGCCTCCTGGGAGTGCGACGTCACGTTGTTTAGTGGCGCTGCACGTAGCGTTGTTTTGCAACATTGCGGGCAGCAGGTGGCAGTGCGTCAAAATTCATCGTTGCACCGTACTTATGCGCTCCCCACATGTGTATGCAAATTCTCGCCTTCGCCAACCCGCACTGACCAGCACGGTGAGGTATGGTCGCATGAACCCCGGACGTCATACAGCAGTGTATTGTGGGGGAGGCCATCATCATCATGGTCATCCAGCAGTGGACTGGCAAGAGGGGCTGTAAGTAGTGTCGTATAGTTGGTCAGTCACACTGCAGAGTGCGTAGTATTCAACACATCATCACTCGACAAACAAGACATCTCTTATTGGGAACAAGTGGTGACTTGGCAGAGGCAGTCTCACATGACAAAGTCATGCACCAAACATGGACACAGCCTATTACCATGTTCATAATTCACCCTTTTGTCTGACTAATAGCCGTTCGTTCGAATATATTATAAATACATAAATTCACAGCCCTCTTGTCAGTCCCACTGCCGGATGAGTAAAGGCTTCCCACACCGCCGCATGCGTGGTTGGCAACATGGGAATTGTTGTAAGACCATACTTCACCACGCTGGTCACTGCGGATAGTTAAAGTGGGGGGGGGGGGGGGGGGGGGGGGGTGGAGACCCAGGACCAGTTGACGTATCACTCGCAGCCACTGATGTTAACCGTTGCCCTGGATTTAAAATGTGGGTAGCCAAACCACTTCGCCAAATTCTTGCCCGTCCCCCCCCCCCACCCCTCAACCGGAGTTTTATAATAACAGTTATTATCATTTGAGTGATGCCCAGGGCCGCCAATTCACGCGAGAACTTTGAGACGCGTAAATCAAAGTAAGAATCCGAGACGTCGCGGCGTTTGCGCGTGACTTCGAGGGCGAAACTCGCCCCGCGCGCGCTCGCTCGAATCCCCAACGATGGCTGTGTTTCTTTTTGTCTTTGCCTTGGGTTGAGAACAGGTTATCCCCCCTCTTTGGAGAGCCACGACGGAGAGATGCCAAGCGAGAGGGGGCGGGGGGCGCGCTCGCGTTCACAAGCGCCGCAGCTCTATAGCCGAACAAAAAATAAAAACTATTTTATCTTTTGTTTTCTGTAAACTGCTCCGGCTGGTGTTGCCTCCGAACCGAATCGCCCGCAACGTGGCCACCCATTCTCGTCGGACGGATCTCCCAAGCTTAAGCTGAGGGTTGAGCCTCGATAGCTCTCGGATGGGCGACCGCAAGGCTGCGGGTCCATGATTGTGCTGTACTCTCTATGCTCCCACGTCTATTACGCCTGCCTTCGGTGCTAACCCGCATTGTCCGGCGTGGTGGAGTATAGTCAAATAAGCTTCCCGTGACCCATACAGTGTGGGGAGCAGGACCGCCCGCTATATAGGTGCTTGGGTGGTGGGATGTGGGGGGGGGTATTTGCACCACCAAGTACCCCTTTGGCTCAGCCAAATTCACTTTGAGCAGGGTGTACCACCATTATTATGGTGCCCGTCCACCGCCCCCCTCCGCAACGGATCTACTTTGCCCGCTCCTATATCCGAGAGGAGCCTGTTCGGGGGAGCCTCTTGTCCAGCAGTGGATTAACGGAAGGGCTGTGCGTATATAATGTAGCTGCCGGTGATGTAGGGCGCTTGTCCTAAAGCACATTGCTCAGGCCAGCGTGTGTGTGTGTCTGTGTATGTATGTATGTGTTTGTGTGTGTGTATGTGTGTGTATGTATGTGTTTGTGTGTGTGTTTGTGTATGTGTGTGTATGTATGTGTTTGTGTGTGTGTTTGTGTATGTGTGTGTATGTATGTGTTTGTGTGTGTGTTTGTGTATGTGTGTGTTTGTTTGTTTGTGGGGAGCGATAGTGTAGCGGTTAGCGCGCTGCGCTATGAACCTGGCGACCCGGGTCCTGGGTCTCCCCTAGGTCAACTCGGCCTCAAATTAGTACCTGGTGCAGTGTGTAAGCATCGCCACTAGGGAGACAAAGGCGGCCGGGCGTGGTGCTGGCCAACACACCCCTTCGTGTGCCGTTTCGGCCTTCATAGGTGCTCGTTAACAGCACTTGCCCCAACATACGGGGGATCTTTGTCTTTGTGTATGGGGTACAGTATGTATGTGTGTATTTTGTATGTATGTTGAACTTCTTTTGCACCGTATGTAGCCAACTGTGCTAATTGGAGGTGTAGGTGAAGGACAACAAACCAAACACAAAATAACTTATTTCACTCCGTACGTAGCTAATCGGAGTGCCTTACGTACTGGCCTTCATAGGTGCTCGCTAACAACACTTACCCCAACAGTCGGGTAAAAGTTACACAGGGGGTCTTTGGGGAGTGGTGGCGCAGTGGTTAGTGCATTGCCGTAAAAAACCTGGTGACCCCAGTCCGATTCTCGCTCGTGACCTATAACAGTGACAGCCAATATCTGAACTGGTTCAGGGCCACACCTAAGTCGACTCGGCCTTCAGCAAGTACCTGGTGCGGTGTGTATACAAATTTCAGCACTGGGGGGGGGGGGATCAAGGCGGGCCGGACGTGCTGCTGACCACCCACCCGCCCTCTCCCTAACAGCACTTGCCCCAGCAGTCTGTTAAAAGGCTATACGGAGGGGGGGGTGTGTGTGTGTGTGTGAAGTGATCTTTGTCTTCTCCTTGTGTGTGCGTGCGCCTTTCGCCTCTCTTAGGATGCCAAGTCCCTGGATGCGTGTGTCGAAGGGGTCCTGTCTAGCCTGTACCCGCCGTTCGAGTTCACCGCCCCGACACTGCTGGGCCAGGTGTTTTCCGTGTGGGAGCAGAGCTTCCACGGCGACGCGCTGCAGTACCTGGTCAGCTTCCTCATTCCGGCCAAGCACCTCCTGCAGAGCCTGCAGCTCTCGGCCTGCGTAAGCGATCGACGAACAGCGGGGGGCGGGGGAGGGGGGGGGGCGGGTGGCGTCGCGCTCACCCTCCGCTCCCAACGCGTTGGCCTCCCCAGTTGCCCGAACAGTTTTTTTTTTGCGCCGTGGCTCAAACTGGTAGGCCAGGGTTGGCGTTTCAAGTTTTTATATTCTTGGTTCTTTCGGTAAAGTCACGTAGAAGGGAAACAGTAAAATAATAAAAATATAAAAAATTATTTTATATATATTTTTTATTGTTTCCCTTCTACGTGACTTTACCGAAAGAACCAAGAATATGGATCCCTGCAGTCACGAAAGCTTTCAATCAAAAGTTTCAAGTTTTATTTGTCTGAAGTGTGTTGTTTTCGTTTAACCGGTTAATGACTCGAAGAGACCAGGATTAGCGTCTTTCTTCGCAAGAGCAACCCGGAGCATATGTCTGCCAGGAGGCGGCGATGATGATGATCGCTGCCTTGTCTAGCCTCGTGCACCCTCCGCTGGCAGCTATCCCTGGGCGTTAGTCTGCTAGGAGGGTGACGACGATAATGATGATGATTGCTCTCTGGTATCGCCTAGGACACCTCCAGTTGGCATTAGTCGCTGGGCGTTAGTCTTCCAGGAGTTGGGACGATGATGATTGCTGTGTGGTCTAGCCTAAGACACCTCCAGTTGGCATTAGCCCCTGGGCGTTTGTCTGCCAGGAGTTGTGGCAGTGAAGATTGCTGTGTGGTCTCGCCTAGGACACCTGCAGTTGGCATTAGTCCCTAGGAGTTTGCCAGGAGGGTGACGATGATAATGATGATGATTGCTCTCTGGTATCGCCTAGAACACCTCCAGTTGGCATTCGTCCCTGGCCGATAGTTTTCCCGGAGTTGTGGCGATGATGGCTGCTGTGCGTCTAATCCCGATGGAGTGACTTGCGGTGTAACGTTTTTGAATTTTGCAAAAATTTGAACAGCGATGCAGGAGCGCGACGTCCCCTCACCTCTCTCCCGAACGACGTCACGGGGGTTTTCCGCGGCCGCTGCGAGTGAAGCAGACTGTGTGTAATGGCTGCACGGTTAATACCGCACCGAAGGATCAACCAGGGCGGCCGCTCTCTTCGAGCCGCGAGTTTTTTCTGCAACGAGTGGCGAACGTGCTATGCCGCTGGGCCACGCACAGGGGCCGGAAGGCCTGAGACGTCTCGCGGTCAGGAACGAGCTGCGCCATTATCAATGTTACGATAGACAAGATGCTAATAACGCCTTTGGGGTTTTTCACGAGTTGTATTTGTGTTTTTTTCGCGGCAGCGTTGCCAATATGCCGCAAAAATACGTAGCGCAAAACTGGACGGTTGCGTAACGTCGCGCAGGGCTGTGGACGTGTGCCCCCATCCCTACTTTAACCCCCCCCCCCCCCCCCCCCCCCCCCCAGCAAATCTCTCATGCATGGGCGCGTTATTCTATTTTGTGAGTCTTGACACATTCACGCGTGCGTGAGTACAGCACATGTGCCGTGGAAGCGGTGTGATTGATGTGCGAGCGCGATGTGGCTGGGTGTGGTGGAGAGGCATGGCCCCGGAGGGGTGGGGGGCCTCGCGGCAGGGGTGGGGGGGGGAGCAGCGGGGGGGGGGGGCGGGGGAGCGTGTTTGGTTAGAGGCCTCTAATCCGGTTTACCAAGTTGTTGGCTAAGGCCATTGTGTGTAAGTTCCAATGCAGTGTCTCCGTAGCTCATTGGCCCTTACAACCGGGCCGTGTTAAAGACAGGCGGCTGGCTGTCATTCGCGCGGCTGCCTGGCTCCGAGTGGCGAGCGGTGTTGGTGTTGTGGTTGAAGGTGAGCGCGTACACTTTTTTAAAACGTGGATCATCATCATTAATATTATGATGATTGTCATCATTACTCTGGTTTACCCGGGGATAAGGTGTTGTACGCTCGCGTAAACAATTACGGTGGCATGACATAATGCACATTTATTTACGTAGCTCTTGGTGAATGGATGCTGCTGAAAGTTGGTGGGGGGGGAGCTTTTGGGTTGGCGAGAGACAGATCTATATACGAGGAAGACTTATTGTCTGCCTGTTTAGTTTGCCGAAATGTGTTCCATGGAAACTACATCCCAAAACGCTTGGCACTCAGTTAAATAAACAGTGGCAGGGAAGTATAAATATTAATGGGGGTAAATACAACGCCGGTCGTAAGTAACACGCGCGTGTGCCACCAGGTGCGCGTGGGGAGCGGTGCCGTAGTGGTTAGCACGCCGCCCTAGGAACCCAGAGTTCCCGAGTTCGATTCCCAACTCGTGGCCAACACCAGTGATGGATCATCTCGTCACGAGCCTCCCCTGGGTGGAATCGGCCTCAAATGAGCGCTTGGTGCCGTGCGTAAACATCGGCATTGGGGAGACAAAGGCGGCTGGGCGTGGTGTTGGCCACTCCACTCCCTCGTGCTAACAGCACTTGCCCCAGCAGTCCTTGGAGGCTATACGGGGGTGGGGGGGAATCTCTGTCTTTTGCGTGTCCTATCGTTACCATTCCACTCGTTTACCCGGGGAGGCCTCACCGAGGTCTCACGACTGTTAACAAAGAGGGGTCCCCTGTCCGTCACTCTGTCTGTCACTTGCGCCTGTAAAGTGAGTCGCGCCTCCGTGGAGGGGGGAGCAGTGCTACCCAGGCGGGGGGGGGGGGGTAATAAAACAACCACAATCCTCTGATGATTTTGTACGTTTGCCCACTGACAAAAGAAATGATCAGTCTATAATTTTAATGGTAGGTTTATTTGAACAGTGAGAGACAGAATAACAACAACAAAAAATTCAGAAAAACGCATGTCAAAAATGTTATAAATTGATTTGCATTTTAATGAGGGAAATAAGTATTTGACCCCTCTGCAAAACATGACTTAGTACTTGGTGGCAAAACCCTTGTTGGCAATCACAGAGGTCAGACGTTTCTTGTAGTTGGCCACCAGGTTTGCATACATCTCAGGAGGGATTTTGTCCCACTCCTCTTTGCAGATCTTCTCCAAGTCATTAAGGTTTCGAGGCTGACGTTTGGCAACTCGAACCTTCAGCTCCCTCCACCGATTTTCTATGGGATTAAGGTCTGAAGACTGGCTAGGCCACTCCAGGACCTTCATGTGCTTCTTCTTGAGCTACTCCTTTGTTGCCTTGGCCGTGTGTTTTGGGTCATTGTCATGCTGGAATACCCATCCACGACCCATTTTTAATGCCCTGACTGAGGGAAGGAGGTTCTCACCCAAGATTTGATGGTACATGGCCCTGTCCATCGTCCCTTTGATGCAGTGAAGTTGTCCTGTCCCCTTAGCAGAAAAACACCCCCAAAGCATAATGTTTACACCTCTATGTTTGACGGTGGGGATGGTGTTCTTGGGGTCATAGGCAGCATTCCTCCTCCTCCAAACACGGCGAGTTGAGTTGATGCAAAGAGCTCCATTTTGGTCTCATCTGACCACAACACTTTCACCCAGTTGTCCTCTGAATCATTCAGATGTTCATTGGCAAACTTCAGACGGGCATGTATATGTGCTTTCTTGAGCAGGGGGACCTTGCGTGCGCTGCAGGATTTCAGTCCTTCATGGAGTAGTGTGTTACCAATTGTTTTCTTGGTGACTATGGTCCCGGCTGCCTTGAGATCATTGACAAGATCCTCCCGTGTAGTTCTGGGCTGATTCCTCACCGTTCTCATGATGATTGCAACTCTACGAGGTGAGATCTTGCATGGAGCCCCAGCCCGAGGGAGATTGACAGTTCTTTTGTGTTTCTTCCATTTGCGAATAATCGCACCAACTGTTGTCACCTTCTCACCAAGCTGCTTGGCAATGGTCTTGTAGCCCATCCTAGCCTTGTGTAGGTCTACAATCTTGTCCCTGACATCCTTGGAGAGCTCTTTGGTCTTGGCCATGGTGGAGAGTTTGGAATCTGATTGATTGATTGCTTCTGTGGACAGGTGTCTTTTATACAGGTAACAAGCTGAGATTAGGAGCACTCCCTTTAAGAGTATGCTCCTAATCTCAGCTCGTTACCTGTATAAAAGACACCTGGGAGCCAGAAATCTTTCTGATTGAGAGGGGGTCAAATACTTATGTCCCTCATTAAAATGCAAATCAATTTATAACATTTTTGACATGCGTTTTTCTGGATGTTTTTGTTGTTATTCTGTGTCTCACTGTTCAAATAAACCTACCATTAAAATTATAGACTGATCATTTCTTTGTCAGTGGGCAAACGTTCAAAATCAGCAGGGGATCAAATACTTTTTTTCCTCAATGCAAGATCTCCCTTACCCGTCCTCCGCCCGTAAAGGTGTTGACCAGGTCTTTCAAATGGAGTAGAATATTTTACATTTAACCTGGGTGAAGTTTATCATGGTGGGCGGCAGCGATGGTACTGGCGGTAGCGCTCGGCTGGCCTCGCAGTGAGAAGGGGCCTGGGTTCGATTCCCGGCGCCTTTTTCTGCGTGTGGGAGTTTGCCCCTGTTGCGTCGAGTGTGTGTGAGTGAGTGGAGTTTGTATATTCTCCCTCATGTAGAGCATGAGTTGGTGTGTGAGTGAGTGGAGTAGGTTTTCACGACCAATATTATCCATAATAGAGTTATTTTTTGGGTTAGATCGCATAAATATGAATGTGTCGTTAAACCCGCCACCACCTGACACCGCCAATTAGTAAGGTTTGTCATGTCAACAAAATAACCCAACCGGTAATGGATTTCCATTGTAATCTATATGCATACATTAACCCTCCACCTCTGGCCTTTGCACCTGCTTGGCTCACAAGTTACAACATCACGTTTTAAGAACGAAACAGAAGGAGGATTTATCCACATATCTGGCCCTCGCCTGATGATGCTAGTTGTAATTACTGGTGAAACGTCTTAAATGTCATGGGTTTACTCTCCAACACACCAGTGTACTGTAACAAATTGGCACGTTTTGTTTACGTGACAAACCTTAGTCATTTTTTGTTGGGCGGTGGTGGGTTTAACAACACATTTATATTTACTTGATC